TATATATATATACACAGAATATATGAAGATACACCCCAAACGCATGCAGATACACCCAAAGTATAAATTAATACACCCCAATATATATATATATATATATATATATATATATATATATATGTATATACACCCGCAGCTTGCTTCTCTGCATATTAAAACAAAAAAAACACAAACCCTGCGGCTGCGTACATAGATAGAGAGAGGGGCGCCTGAGCAGTAGTCTCATCATCTTGATGCAGCAATAGCCTTTGCTGCTGCTTTCGCTGCTGTTGCTGCTGCTGCTGTTGCTGCTACTGCTGCTGCTGCTGCTGCTGCTGTTGCTGCTACTGCTGCTGCTGCTGCTGCTGCTGCAGTCCGTGTGTGTGTTGCTGCTGCATAGAAAAAAGTCTAGACAGCAGCAGCAGCAACAGCATCTTCATGGTTATACTTTTGCTGCTGCTTCCACTTGCGGTGTAGGGTCTGCTGCTCCTGTGTTAGTATCTGCTGCTGCAGGTGTGGTGTGTGTGTCTCCCTGCTGCTGCTCCCTTCTATGCTGCTGCTGCTGCTGCTGCTGCTGCTGTTGCTGCTGAATCTGCCTGAGAACAAGTCCGAGAGGAGAGAAGGGGCCTGTTCTGCTGCTGCTGCTGCTGCTCTTGCTGCCTCGCGTTCTCTGTGCTGCTGCAGCTGCTGCAGCTGCTGCTCCATCAGCTGCTCCTGCTGCTGCCACTGCCGCGTCGCTCTCTCTTTGTCTCCTTCCTTTATGGACGCCCAGCGGTCCCCCCACTCTAAACCCTAGCAGCACAAACCCTAAACCCTAAACCCTAAACCCTAAACCCTAAACCCTAAACCCTAAACCCCTGAGGTAACAGACGGCTAACTAAGCATATACACAGCACCCTCGCCCTAAACCCTAGACTCATACGCTAAACCCTAAACCCTAAACCCTAAACCCTCATTCGTTCCTTAAAACCCTCACTTAATCTTACCCCCTAAACCCTAAACCCTAAACCCTAGATGTTCATATCTTCTTCTAGCCCTTTGTTTCCCCCTCTAAACCCTAAACCCTAGACCCTAAACCCTAGACCCTGAATGCCTGCAGCAGCATACCCTGCGTTCATCGTTATGTTTTGCTGCTTCTCTTCTCGCTGCTGCAGTGTGTCTTTGTCTTTCTCTTTGATTTTCTCTGGCTTTCTCCCGCTGCAGCGCGAGTTGCTGCTGCTGCTTGAGTGCAGCAGCAGCTCGTTTTCTCTGTGTCTCCTGCAGAGCTTCTATCCTTTCTTTTCGCAGCTGTGTTGTCCTCGCTAGCTGCTGCTGCTGCTGCTGCTGCTGCGCTGCTGCTGCAGCATCAAGCAAAGGCTTTAGCGTCGCGTATGCACGCAGAGAACCCCGACCCACTGCAGCAGCAACACTGTCGTTCTTGCTGCCCTCTATTTTATTAAGAAGGTCCAGCAGCGGCACCTCTGGGGCTTCTGCTGCAACATCCGCAAGAAATAAATTCTTCTCCTTCGGCTCCGTTGCTGCTGCTGCTGCTGCTGCCGCTGCTGCTGCTGCTGCTGCAGTGGGTGCAGGTGAGACTGCTGTAACGCCTGGGGGTCTTGCTTGAGGACGCGGTGGGGTTGCTGCTGCTGCAGCTGCTGCTGCTGCTGCTGTTGTTGGTGTTATGGATGTTGTGGGTTTTCCTCTTGCTGCTGCTGCTGCTGCTGCTACAGCTACTGCTGTTACTGCTGCTGCTGCTGTTGCGTCAGGCAGGCGAATAGGCGGGGGCATGGAGCTGCCTCTTGACCTTGCTGCTGTTGCTGCAGCAGCACTTGCGCCTCTGTATCTCAGCGACGATTGCGGTCTCCTTCTTCTGTTTTTCTTCTCTTCATCTGGGGACCCCAAGCTGCTGCTGCTGCTGCTGCTGCTGCGGCTGTGCCTCAGCTGGTGGGGGCCCCCCGGGGGGCCCCCCTGATCCCCATCTGCATAGAACGTTCTTAACCCAGACTCAGCTAGCTGCCGCTCCCCTTCAGCAGCAAACTGCTGCAGCACGGAAGAGGAGACCAGTGTCTCATCGTCTGCTGCTGTGAGTGTCTCCTGCTGCTCCTGCTGCTGCTCCTGCTGCTGCTCCTGCTGCTGCTCCTGCTGCTGCTCCTGCTGCTGCTCCTGCTGCTGTTGCTCGTGCTCCGACTGCTGTTGCTGCTGCTCTGGGTGCTGGTGCTGCTGCTCTAGATGCTCGTGCTGCTGCTGTTGCTGCTGCTGCTGTTGCTGTTGGAGAAGGTCACTTGCGGCGCCTGCAACGGGGGGCAGAATGCATAGGCAAGCGGTGAGCAGCAGCAGCGCAGCAACGACAGCAGCAGCAGCAGCAGGAAGATGTTTGGGCCTTCTGCGTCGACTCTCTAAGCTGCTCATGACGCCTCATGGGGGAGGGTTGGGAGCAGAGAGCACAGAACCCAGGGCGTGACCACTGGGGTGACCACTGGTCACTGCACTCACACAACCAGGGCTGTGCGCGCGGTACCTCCCCCGCCTTCTTCAGTTAAACAACAAAATTTTTTTAAAAGTGAAAACTACAAAAAATAATAAATTGATAGAAAAGCTACTGAAGGCAAAGAAGGAACGAAGAGGGGGGATCTGCTGCAGCAACCCCGGTTGCTGCTGCTGCTGCTGCTGCTGCTGCTGCTGCTGTCTACGAGATAATACAGATGAAGCCAAGTTAAACTATATTAAAATAAATTAAATTAAATTAAATAATTCTTAAAACATATAAATAAACTGCTGGAGGAGAGCGGTGACCCCCCACAGCACCACCCCCCCCACCAGGGCGGCCGCAGGCATGGGGTGTATGTACACCTGAACAGGGGGGGAGGATGCAGCCTACTATTTATTTATTTTTGTATTTAATTTTAATTTATTTGGTATTTCAAGGAGTGTATGCAGCTTAGCAATCACCCCATAGCAAAGTAAGAAGCTAAGAACAGCAGCAGGAGACCAGTGGTCACCTCGGGTGTGGTGGGGTTGTTGTTATTTGGTCGTCTCCTTTCTGTGCCCCGATTGTATCTAGCAATATACACCACAAACATAAACTGCCTATACACCTGAAAAAGCCCCAATAGCCTCTGCTGCTGCATGCACACAGAGAGAGAGACTGTGCGCTTGAGGTGTCTCCGTTGTCTCCTCTTTTTCTTATATCTCCTCTCCTGGTATAGTATATGTACCCTATATAAACCTATACATATCTAGATAT